TAAGTCACGAGCTTTCCCGCTAGGCCTGGGGAAGTTATCGTACTAACGGCGTTTCCCCCCCCCCCCCCCCCCTCTCTTCCTCCCCTCCAGTCAGGTTGCATATTGCGTCGACACTTTAAAAAAATTCCGAGCGTTTTGGGAGTATAAAGTGAGCACACCGTGAGCTTTTCGAATTTACTCGCTTATTACTCACCAAATGCTCCCTCATCGCTCGTATTGAAGTGAACACCTTCAAGTTCTTCGCCGGGCCACTAGATGGAAATTAGTGTCTCGCATTTCGCATAGTACACTAAAGTTCCCTTCCCTCTTTCCCTGGAATCGTCCCTCGCAGGATTTTGTACCTTGCCATATGTCTCGCCTAGTCTCATAGGAATCAACAAACACGGACATTCCATCATTTGTTATCCACATATTCAAGACGTATTCATAGCGTCCATGCCATAAGCAAGCTCACATTCCTATTGAGAACCCCCTTGGAACGCGGGTGGTTTGGAAAGTGCTGAGAGTGCCCGTGAACTTCATTCCCTCATACCTCAGTTAAATGGGGTGATAAGAACTGAAAAGGACACGCAGAGGTGTGTGCAAGCAGAGTTCTGTGGTGCTTCACACTACGAGTGACGGGTTGAATCCTAAATGGTAACGGACTCATGAATCAGTTCATAGGGGCCTGCGGCAACGCAAAATGTAAAAAAGTTGTTCTTCACCAGAACGCGTAAAGAAAAAACCACAGCAGCTGATTAAATACAATTCAGAGTAGAAATAACTTCACGTTTCTTTAAGTCCTACCACAAGCGGGTCCGCGAAGTTTTACAGCTCGATGAAGGATCATTTCCCTTTGGGTCATTGGATTGATTACGCATGTGGAACTCATATTTTTATTGGACAGAATTCTCCTGAAATTTTTTCGAAACAGAACCGTGGTTCGACTTCTCAGTCAGAGTCACATGTGCAAGTCAAAAGTCGATATTCCTACTAGGCATTCATAGCCTGGTGCCTCAATGCCTCGAATCACTACTGTTGTGAACGGTTACACTGTAAACCAAATCTCGGTTAAGTTCAACGAATTTCCAGTGTCCGAAAGCACAGGCCAGAATTTTGAATGGTCTTCCCAATAATTTCTGTTTCTAACAGCTGTTGGAGCATTCTCCTTTTTTAAAAAGCTTTTTGGCCCATTATCCCCAGCGTTATACAACAAATATTGCCTCCTGCGTTGGCATGAGGCAATATTTGTCTCAAAGCAGAGAAGAAGTTCAAAATGTCTCCATCCTCCTATTTTGGAAAAAAATCCGAAGAATCACAAGTTTGACTAAACGAACCCTAAACAAAGTCGTTTCAATCGTTTGCTGCTATGAACATAAGAAATCTTAAAATCGACTTTGGTAGGTCGCCGTGTAGTCCCGAAGTTGTTGGATTGACTATGTAAGGCAATACCAAGGCATAAATAATCCCAACTTGAGTCCGTCTGCATGAACCACAGTCAACAACCAAACAGTTCGACCAGTCTCATGAGTGAAATGCATGGTATGGCTCGACCCCTGCATATGTCCATATGTGGATGTAGAGCAAATTTGCGTGTATGTGTGCATTTGTGCAATGGCAAAAATGCAGAAGATTCTTTGACGATTTTATTCATTTCAGTTGTCAAGGTTTCCCATTCAGTTAGATCAATTGTATTTCGTCAGTAGCCCCTAAATATCACCGTGTTTATCCACTGGGCGAACCTGATGGGAAGAAGGAGAAAAACTTAGTTTTTGATGAGAAGGGAGGACAGGAATGCAAATGACAAATTTGGGTTGGATTAACCCGAACTCACCTATTAACTTTTGTGAAAATCCCATACTGTCCAGGGCGTCTCATGGAACAAGTACCTTTCTGGAAGAAGTGACTCGCGATCCCTTCCATCGTCCAGTGGCTGTCCCGTGATGAATCGGAGAGGAAAACCATGGGACTCCCCGAATCCCCTCGACACACTGTTCGAAAATCTGTGCAGCAGATATCATAATGATGATTGTAATTCCCTTCATTCATTATTTAAAAAAAAACTTGCAGTGAAGTGTCAGTGGTATTACAATTGTATGAAGTAATCTAGTGACATAATGCAACTCAACTTTTGTCCATGTGTGTGTAGTCTCTTTACTGTTATCGGTCATCTTTACTGCAATCTGCGTAGCGGCATGAACCAGATACTGCTCTCCTTGTGTAGGGTTGAGTCAAATTTACTCCTATTCCTACATATGTGTAAGTGCTCTTGTCAAGTTATTTAATAAAATACCATCCTAGAGTTGTCATTAGCTTGACATCTGAGGTTTCACCCCTTAAACCAGTCTTGGCGAAAGTTACTATCTTGAATGCTGTCTCTTCTCCGATACGTAAGACTGGCTTTTCCAACCTCCTGTAGACGATCCATGATTGACGTTATGCGCCTACACTATGAGAACCTTTTTCGAGGAAATCCGAGCAACCCGGAGGAAATAAATTTCTAGGAAGTGCCATCTTGAACTTCATTAACTGGGGTGACCGAGGATGCTCCACAGGAATTCTCGAAGCGCGAGATGAAACTATCTTCAACATCACTCTCGGAATTAGTTCATGAGGCTCAAAAGACAATTCACACTTTACGTGTCATGCACACTTGGCTTCAATGCCAGTGCAGGTAGGCGGACGCACATGTGCAGAAGCATGTCTACACGCGTGTTTAATAACATTTAAGAAGTTTCACAAACCACGAGGCGTGCGTGTGGAATTGGGAAGAGCTGAATTAGAAAGCTCAAAATGCAATCACGCGAATTTGACGCAATCACTGATTACAAGACCATGCCTTCAATGGGAGTATCCGCAGCAAAACCAGCGCAAAACATATTTGAGGTGAGGGTACGAGTGACATCGGGGTCCCTCGTGAAATTCAGCGTGTCCAGAACACATTTGCGATTGGATACCACTGGAAGTTGAACCTCCGTCAGGACAGCTGCGTGTTCATCAGAACCATCATAACCCCAACCAGCCACCTGCATCATTAAACAATCGAAGAAGAAAACATGCAACAAGAACGCTGAAGGTGAAATTTTAGGTTGCGGTATTAATATATTTGGTGTCTTACCCATCCTGGCACTCCACTGTCGAGGTTTGCCTCAGAGAAATCAAATCGGCTCGGGAGACATACCAATTGAAATGGCGCCGTTAGCACGGCAGGTCTTGTTAGTTTCAATAAATCTATGTCTGAGTCGTAGTTATTATATACGTTGAAGTCCTTGTGCAAGATTATGTGAGATACCTGCAAGGAGATTGCGATAGTTTACATAATCAGATAAAATGGAATGTAGTTCGAAAATGTTAGAAGGTTACTGAACTGGTCTGATCTGCACGTATTCAACTTTCTTGATAAAATATCGGTAATGCTTCCAAAGGTGGACAAAAAGTTCTTCCGATCTCCCAGTTCTGAGGGTACCATCTACGACGACACAATGAACAGCTGTCAGCACCCATTCTTCCCTAATGAGAGCCCCTCCACAAATAACGTCTTCCTTGTTGATGTCATAAATGGCCACTTGCCATGGCCATTCTATGATTTCAGATGGATTTCCTCCAGCTGATAGCTGAATTTGACTTTCTTTCTTCCCGCATACTGCGAATAGAACGGTACACATAGAGCCATCCGGAAATAGCAGATATGTGTCAGGTGAACAGGTAATATTGTAGTAAAGGAAACCGACCTGGCTTACAAAACGGGGTGGGTCTGGTCCATTCTCCATCCTCCTCACATCTTCTGATTTCCGGTCCCCGCAGTTCATAATATATCTCGCATCTGTATCTAACGATGCTCAACAATGAATATGTTTCATCTCCAATGCAACTTGCATTGCTTATTTCAGCAATATCTTCAGATGGTGTGCCACAAGACTCGAAAGCATTGTTTCCATTTTGGATGTCAGCGAGTTGTCCGCATCCGATCGCTCCGGCTATTGGCGGAAAAAGGATAGGAGAGTTGCTTGTATGACCGTAACTGTTATGAATGCATCCGCTGAGTTTGACTTATAAACCTTCTTTGATTTCGCCTGCCGTTTAGACAAATTGGATCTGCATGGTTTTTCCTTCATAATTTCCTGTGGGTTTCTTTAGGAGTTGAACGACTCCAGGACATGTGATCAATCGACATTTTTGTTTCGTTCGGTTGTTGTGTCCTCTCTATAGCAATTGGTACATTAGGGTTGTTTTCTTTACGACAATGGCTGTAAATAAATTGCACATCAAGTATGAAGTCGAAGTTGCCTGGGTTCCCTCGCTAATCCGTCTTACTTTAATGCATTTCTCTCGCGGAAAGGCTGCATTTACGTGAACCTATTCGATGCATTCCTTCGGACGAAAATAATTAAAATGGGAGGACTCTCTGTTGCGGTGCTCCAGTTAAACAAATAGCGTGCGCAATCCTAGCAGCGACCTAGACCGAGCGACAAATATGTGTTTTGTGTGTTACAGCGCCACAGACCAAACGGTTCGAGGTATGGGGTTGGGGTTTTCGTATGAATGAAATAAATCTAAAACATTTATCAAAGACTTTCCCTTACTTCAACCCTTCCCTTCCCTTCTCTACGGGGCTCGCGGATGTTAGGCCCGGGCCTAACAGCGAACTGTCGGCAGATCAGGGCTAGGTCTCCTTTTTCGCGAAAAAGGATTAACTCCTCGACTTACGCTGCTAATTAGGCCCTTTAATGATCAGTCCGTGGTCTTCGAGACATCTCGTCGGACGCGTGCCGTTAGGCCTATCGCAGCCCATTCGTTGCAACGTTGTGTCGACATTGGGCAAAGGTTGGTTTTTCAGCGTAAAAATGTGGCCCCGAATGATGAAACACTGTTGACAAATGAAACACGGAAACACACCTCTCACATGTGACGCAGCATGCGATCGAAGCGATTTTTCCGTTAGGGGTCCAAATGTAAAAATATAGGGATCTAGACGTAGGCCGAAGCAGTCACGAATCTGACAACTCTGGCACGATATCCAATGAAACGGAGGGACGGACAGGAGGCAGCACTTTAAGGCAAATAAACGACAATTAATATAATTGTTTATGGAAAGTGGTGCTTCGCAAGAGAAGGGCACTTTTTGTCACCTACAAGTCTTTATCTTTCTCATGGCTGGTCTCTTTCCTGCGAAAACGCCCCAGGAGTGCTATCCAAGGGGGTGGGGTGGGGTGTGTGTGGGTGTGGGGGTGGGGGAAGAAAAAACAACGCGGAATGAAATTGACAACTTCAAAAAAGCGAGATTGAGTGTTTCCCGTAAACCTGGGGAGATGTAGCTTCTCATCTGTGGTGAGGGAGGAGGAAACATCCCAGCAAACATACCCAGCAAACATAGCAGTGCTGTTGGAACGTTCAGTGAGTGTCATATCAATGTCATAAGCGTTGAAGGTTCAAGTCGAGCGCTGCTTGAATATTATATCAGTGTTATACCACAATCACATAATTCAAAATTGCGTTTTAATGAATGATCTGTTAGCACCATGCAGCATATCAAGCAAATAGAGCATATATATCATTATTTCTTTGCAAAAGACAACCAAGAATCAAATCCAGTGTTACCAGCCAACGTTGACTGAATGCTTCGCTTTGACATAAAGCAGCGTCACCTATCGGAATCTAATAACGTTTCATGAGAATGCGACTAAATGACCGCTACAGGCTGGCGCGTGCTGCAAGCGAACTGTGTCCATCACCGTCAGGGCCGTTTCTAGGGGCGGGCGAAGCGGGCGATCGCCCGGGGCGCCAGCGGAGGGGGGGCGCCAGCGGAGCGGAGCGCCAACGAAGAGGGGGGGGGACGCCAGCGAAGGGGGGGCGCCAGCGGAGGGGAGCGCCAGCGAAGCGGGGGCGCCAGCGGAAAGAAGCACCATAATAAAACAGGCATTTTTTTATGTGGTTGGCGTCCACTTTATGCGAACTAGCACTAATTGGGACGATAGAAAATTTTAAATTAATGATATTTCATGTTATGCCGTGGAGCCTCCTACCAGCGTACGGATGAGTCTGATAACAGTTTCATAATCGGGCAGAAGCCCCCCCCCCCCAACCTTCCTCTCGTATATGCGGCATGATGCTACGCTGCGACTGGGTATCAAGTCGGATTGTCACTATAAGTCGATGCATCGGTACCATTATCGATGATTGGAAGAATCTATAGTTTTTTTTTTACCATCACGATGTACACGCAAAATGATGGGAAATGCCCTGTTGGATTGAGACAAGTACAATACAGTCCGGGCGGGGAAAGGAAGAAGCGGCGTGACCCGCATGGGCTTTCAATTTCTTATCACGATCAATTTCTAGAAATGCTGGGACTGACTATATGAAAGAAGAAAAAAAAAACCAGTTCGCATCGGAGACAGGAAGTGGAAAAGGAGAGGGAATAAAGACCAAAATTTTTTTTTTCTCTTCTGTTTCAGTCTTCCGCTCGATCTCATGAGGTGCATGTTATGAAAGTGGACTGCTCTTTTACTCCCTTGATTTCGAAACGTACCACCGTTTTATCCCCCTCTCTATATTCCTGTCTTTCTCATTAGTTTGGAGGCTTAAGTTTTTGAATTTTTATCTGGCCCTGGGGAATTTCTTCTTTTTACTTAAACTGAGCCCAAAGTGAATGATTTCCTCGGACGTCGCTTGAATCTAGGGCTGTAGGGATGTTTCGGTAACCGTCAGTATAGCGCTATCGACAGGTTTCCTATCTGCCGGTGCCGATGTCCGAAGAACACCATGTAGAACGAAGAAAAAAAACTACGTGAAGGGGCTTGGCAACTGATTCTCAATGGCAATAATAAAAATTAGGACTGTCCTTATGCATCCATGATGAATGGATGCATGGTTGGAGGCATGGCAGGCTTCATTACTCCTTGTGAATGTCACACCTTCCCTCCGATCATAAGCGTGAGATTATGGAAGGCTGTAAAAATTAGGACTGTCCTTATGCATCCATGATGAATGGATGCATGGTTGGAGGCATGGCAGGCTTCATTACTTCTTGTGAATGTCACACCTTCCCTCCGATCATAAGCGTGAGATTATGGAAGGCTGACGGAGATCCGCACCCCGATCGAGCTAAGAAACGACGGTAGTCAAACCTCCGCCCGATCGCGGCAAAAAAAGATTGGATCCTCCAGCCCCCCTCCAGGGTGCATCGATACACTATCGATAGTCGATGCATCGATGTTATGAAAACTGTCATCGTGACAACCCTAGTATCAAGCGTTACACTATCTGACGACGCTGCCTCCTGCCAGCACCGTCATCGCACATGGGTGTTGCGCGATTCCTGGTCATGGATCTGATGACTGACAGACGAGTACATAACTGTAGTGAGTAGTCAGTGACGAGTTTTTGTGTTATAGTTTTCAAGTGATGTGTTATCCTACCGTGTGTTTCATTCTGTGCTGACTTAAAAGTGTTTGTGTTGCCAACCGACAAGGTAAGTCTTGTTAAAATTGCATTACGTAGTATTCAATTTTAAGTTTCATAAAATAATTAATTATAATAATTGTCACCACTGTCTTTTCATCAGATGGTTCTTGCGACAAGACTATCGAGATCCTTCTTCTGTTTATTGTCCGCGTATTTTCCAGTGCATGTTGGCATAACCACTGACAATTTTGAATTGTATTTTACAGGGTGGCACAAAAATCGTGCACCATAGGGTAAATTACAGTAAATGTACTAATCGTTTGCCTTTAACTTGAAAACACTTCAATTTGCTGTACACATAATGTTTTACAACATAATGTTTGAACATATCTTAACTCCACCCTCTCGTCGTTTATAAATTTTGCTGCTGTTGCTTACCTGCAAAGAAAGAAACAATAATTAATTTAGTGCAACAGTGAAATCCCCTATGGTGCGCGACTTCTGCGCCACCCTGTATTATAAAACTGTGCGTTTAAAAAAGGCCCTAATTAGCTGTTAAACTTCATCTACTCTTTCCCTTTACTTCAGGGTTCTGCATACTGTAGAATAGGAATTTATCATACATGTAGTATTAATCACCCATCCCATCTTCATTTTTTAAATTACTATTCCCCTTCGTCCTCGGAAACTCAAACAGATCGCGTCTATCATACGATTTTGGAGATGTCGTCTTCCAAAGCTTCAGGAGCTCAGAACCGCAAGAGAAAGGCTAAAGAAAAGGTGCAAGATGCGACGAGTGCAAAAGCGTTATCAATGTTTTTACGAAAACAGGAAACGTCTTTGTCAGAACAGGTACAACAGTATGTTAGTAGTGATATAGTGGTAGTGCCGACGGAAACTGTGAATGTCATAGGTAGCCCAGTAGGGAACCTAGAGCTGGAAGAAGGAGTCGTGAAGGAAACCCCCATTCCAAAAAATTACACTTACACAGATCCATCAGTATGGCCAAGAATCACCAATGCTTTGCGTGATGAAATTATTCTTCAGGGCCCGCAAGCAATAGAAGCTTCAGATTCTACTTATCCAAGGGACCACAAAAATCGACACTTTTCTTCCTCTTACGTAGTGCGGGTGCTGAAAAATAGAGAAACCGTAACCAGGCGGTGGCTGCAGTATTCGTCTTCGTCTGACAGAGTATACTGCTTCTGCTGTAAGCTGTTTGACCCTACGTCTAAATCTAAGCTCGGCAATGAGGGACTTAACAACTGGCAGCATATTGGGGAGAATTTGAGATCCCACGAGACCTCACCTGAGCACTTTCAGTCATGCCAAAAGTGGCTGCAAGCTGAACGATGCCTAAAAGGAAGAACAGGCATTGACAAGGATCTCCAAGAGCAATTTGATG